TTTTTACACTTGACTAATCACCAACCATTTCTTATGGAAATTCTTCATAGAATTTATCTAGATTGAAAACTTAGATTTGTGATCTGATAAATCTATTCTAGAAACGTATCTTTTATCTAAAAAAAAAAAAATAATGATTCTGATTTTGAGAATGTAAAATATAGGGTTTTTTTTTTATAAACTTGAGACGTTGCATGCGTTTCGTAGAAGTCTTATAAATTACAAATTATATGAATTACATGAATTATATGAAATGACGTAAATATGCAACATTATAATTGGACACGGAAATAATTACATTCGCGAAATTTAAAAAGATAAATTATGTATGCCATGATTTTACATTTTAAATTGAACCAGCTAAAAAGAAACTGCTACTTGTGGCTAACTCGTTTTTAACATAATTTAGTAGCTCCAAGATAAACGCCCGTCTTTCGTGGCCAAGCGTTTTCATCGGCGGGATTAAAGTGCCATGGCGCACTTTAAAATTGCATTCGCCGCCGTGGAATTACGCGAGATCTAATTACGCGCTCAGCTGGACGAGGCGTTTCGCACTCATAGAGCGAATTAAATGTTGCCAAGGCAAACGTCACGAATGATATCGCGTCGTGTTCCACCACAACTCGCGCGATTTCTTTTTGCACACGTTAAATTAGAATTTTCTAGGCGTATCGCATCTATCCGTATCATCGTTCACTACTTCCCGCCGTAAATCGGCTTCAATGATTCGTTTATACTCGAGAGAGACTCATAAATGGAACGCACATTAGTGTTGTTCGAAATCGATTTTGCGAATTATAAAAAATCTCGATCGCAACGAGTCGAATCACCAATGCAGATAGAAACTTTAGAGTGTCGGACAAACATAAATATCCAATAAATAAAATAGACATCAATTTTTTAATGAGTTAAATACATCATGATAATATGATAATCGTCGTCAAAGTAAAGTGATATAATATTGAATTGACAATATGATGTTATCGTGTCAAGTGCGTTATCTTGACACGCGTGTACATTGTACGCACCTTGGATTGTGCAAATTCTGAGGTCATGGGCGCTTATCTAAATGTATTCGCACTGCTTTGTTTATTGCTGATATTTCCCAAAACGTGAATACGAGGTCTATCACGTCTAATCAGCGATAATCGGACGCGATAAGTTATCAGATATACAGTGTGACGACAGCATGTAAAAGAGATAGCAGGAGAAAATATATACATACTTTTGAATTATTAATCATCAATGGGCCGAGCCTCACAAGAACGGATTTTATCTTCATTTATTTTTCTTCTTCTTATCTTTATCTACGCGCCCTATGAAACACCATGGATTTTAAAAAATATTTTTGAAAAATATTGCATACAAAAATATTAGGGATATCTATAATATACATAACATAAAATAATATTTTCGTACATTTTCATATTTTTCTAAAATATCGCTCTGATTATCTTCGTTATTTCGATTTAATTTGTGCGATCGTATTGCAAATTAAAATTTAATAATAATAAAAAAATTAAATAAAAAATTAAATTTCACTTTTAGGAGAAATTACATAATTTTTTTAAAATATATGTTAACGAATATATATGACAAGGAATCCTAAACGCATTTGTCACGAATTCGAAAATTGGACTCATTATAAGATTGATACTTTAATATAAATTTGATTCTTACGGTGTTACTTTTCTCAAATGTAACTTCAACCGATATGACATACTTTGAAAGTATCGCATCGTTCAAGCTCATCTATCGATTTCCGCAAAATACTCCACCCGCGTTATAGGTATATTGCATTATAGATGCAGCCGCTTGTTGCATCGCACAACAATACTTGCGGGACAAAGTTCACTGCTATTCACGCATTATAAAGTATTTTTATTATTGATTCTCTAACTGTAAGACAAAAGATGCCTTAAGTTTCGGAAGCAGCAATGGTATAATATCGCATAATTGCACAAAGTTCTTTTGAAGTTTCTATAGACAATTTCTGATAAAAATATGAAGAAAGAATTTTATTAAAAAGTTGTAAAAGATTCTCGTTAATGAGAAAAATAGTTTATTTCTGATATTCCCCTGCAATTTAATTTAGGAATTCCGCGACTAAAAAAAAAGAAAAGTCATTCTATAATATTCAACACGCAAGCTTAACAATTCAAGTATTTTATCATCTAAGGCTCCTGAGTAGTCACCACAGCCATATTAAATCGAAACGTCAGAAACAATCTCATCATTTTATTTTATCCAAATTGTCTTTATTTATAAATGGTATGTAATAAAAATTAACGTGTCATTTCTCGCTTCTGACGTCATGATTCAATATAGCTGTGGTGACTATTCAGGAACCTTAAAGATAATAAAATACTTGAATTGTTAAGCTTGCATGATGAATGTTGTAGAATAATTTTGTTTATCGTCTTTATTTATAAATGGTATGTAATAAAAATTAACGTGTCATTTCTCGCTTCTGACGTCACGATTCAATATGGCTGTGGTGACTACTCAGGAGTCTTAATAAGGAGCGGGGATTTTACTTCACACAATCCAAGAAATAAAATCGCTTGAATTAAAATCACCAATTTGCAAAAGCGTAATCCGTTCGTGCCTGTAACACACGATGTCAACGGCTAACATACAATAGTTTGACATTCCTCGACGTTCTGATGATACCAACGATTCTGGCAACGTCGACAATAGCCAATGCTCAGTCAATTCCAATGAATCCAATGTCAGTCGCAATTCTTGCGATTCTCTCTGTTGAAGGTACACACGGTGAATAAAGCGCACACTGAGCGACGGCTCCGAGCAAGTGGCAAGCGGTTTCGCAATCGCGAAATCAAGGCGCGTCAACGGTATGCGAAGGGTAACCCCGAGATAACCCTGCAAGCAGTCGTTCGTGAATTCTTCATACCGTTATCCCCAGCAACGAATGAAAGAGATCGCAAAATTGTCGTGCAACGTGCAAAAATTCCTTTCCTCTTCTCATTCTTTTCAGAAAATGTACAACAGCCAGTATTAATCTTAACGGGAACGATGAGGAGATATATCATTCATATAGCATAATGTTTTTTACAAGCAAACCGAACAACGTATTCCAGCGACGAGTAATTATGGCGATACCAGTAATTATCGCGTGACGCTAATTTTAGTGGGAAAATGGCTTACTGAATGAAAGGGTTCAGTAACGGCGTGATAAGTGACACGATAAAATAGTTATATAAAGCAGGAAAAGAGGTTCATATATAATATCTCTCTTGTTCATGATGATATGTAATTCTTAAAAGCTATGACACAAAAAAAAACTTAAATAGTAAGCAAATCAATATTTTGGATTATGTGCTTATTGTATTATGATTATTGCCTTAAGTCTCTGTTAAGTCCTGTTTACAATGGAAGTAATATTGGAAGCTTTCCAGCAAAGACACAAATAAACTCAAGAATAATTCTATTTTCGTTTCTTACTGATTATCAAAACTTGTGTCAATTTGTGTCTCTTGCTGAAAAGCTCCCGTAATTGCATAATAAGCAGCAAGAAAATGTAAGAAACCAATCATAAATCGATTGTTTCCCTTACATTCGATTATGATTGGTCAATTTCTTATGGCTTACAATTTACTATTACTTAGACCCTGAGCACAATAGAAGGAATAAGGAATTAGGAACAAAGAATAAACGATTTTAACCTATCAGAAACCGTGTATTCCGATGTATCCGATTTCTGATAGGTTAAAATCGTTTATTCTTTATTCCTAATTCCTTATTCCTTCTATTGTGCGCAAAGCCTTACACAACTTATTACTTTCACTGTGGTCAGTCCTTTATAGACTTTCTACAATAAATCATAACTAAAGGCCTAAGTCTTAAGCTACAAGAAATTAACCAATCATAATCGATTATTCTTCTCACATTCGACTGTGATTGGTTAATGTCTCATAATTTAAGGTTTAAAACTTAGCTTATTGTAGAAAGCCTATTAATCCGGATCTACAATAGGTGTTTTAAGCCATAAAAAACTGATCAATTACATCCGAAGAAGAATAATCGATTGTGATTCGTTTCTTATGGTTTAAGGTTTAAAAATCTATTGTAGGTCCAGACTTGTGATTGACCGAAACACTTATTGCTTATGTCTTACTTGTCTCACGTTGTTTTACGTGTCATAACCTTAAGACTCGGCGAAGCTCTCGCATTTATTCCTCCGTTTATTTTGCATTACGCTAATTACGGAATTTTCTAATTATTCCGTACTCGCGACATCAATCTCGTTCTCTACGAACGCAACAATTGCTCAGTGTCTTTGAGCGCGAACGCGAGCGACGACAAACGCACGCGTTTCCCGTCTTCCCGATCCCGTTGCATCGGCGCGATGTAATGCGAAGTTCAACGCCGAGTGGCGTCAGATGCAACGCAGGACGACCTCAACGTCGCGAGGATCACTGTAGGGAACGACGTTAAAAAAGGTCTAGACTTGGGCACCAGACGTGGGATTTCGTCGACCGGATCTTTTCTCTCCCTTTCTTTCCCTCATTCTCTCTCTCTCTCTCTCTCTCTCTTCGTCCGCCTCCCCTCCTTTTCCTCCTTTCTCACTCTTTATCTCCAAACATCTGCGTCGTTTGTGATAATTCTTTACCTGACATTTCACTCTATTTCCTTTTACAAGGATAAAAGGAAACTTGCTTTACAGTATTCAATTTTAGGCGGTCACCTCGAAAAAGAAAAAAATGTTAAGTATTTTTTACAAGTTCTCTCTTATTCGCTCCATCGCACCGTTTCTCTTCCTTCAGCGAGCGCAACGGCCGTCTCGCTCGAGCCTTCCCCGCTCGCTTCGAAAAGAATCCTCCGTGATACGCAACAGGTTATCGAAAGGTACCCGTGTGCGCGCTCACCACGGCGCATATATACGCAAATATGTAAATGACATTTGTATACACGCGCGCGCGCACATACACACATACACACATACACACATACAGGTACACATGACGACAGACACTCACCGTGCTCGCCGACCGCCAAGGATCCGACCAGGAGAGCGCACAGGACAACTAATAGCAGGGAGATCCACGTCGACCTTCGACGTCCGTTTGCACCATCAAAGTAGCACCATTGTTCCTCCTTACGCGCCATAATTGCGTCAACTTTGAACACGACGAAGGTTTCCAATCCGTCCCGTCTTTCCGCTTTACGGAGGGTTTCGCTCGAAAGTTACCAACGA